GAGTGGTTGTGGCATATTGTGAAGAGTGGTTGTGGCATGTTGTGAAGAGTGTTGTGGCATGTTGTGAAGAGTGGTTGTGGCATGTGAAGAGTGGTTGTGGCATGTTGTGAAGAGTGGTTGTGGCATGTTGTGAAGAGTGGTTGTGGCATGTTGTGAAGAGTGGTTGTGGCATGTTGTGAAGAGTGGTTGTGACATGTGAAGAGTGGTTGTGGCATATTGTGAAGAGTGGTTGTGGCATGTGATGAGTGGTTGTGGCATGTTGTGAAGAGTGGTTGTGGCATGTTGTGATGAGTGGCTGTGACATGTTGTGAAGAGTGGTTGTGGCATGTTGTGAAGAGTGGTTGTGACATGTGAAGAGTGGTTGTGGCATGTTGTGAAGAGTGGTTGTGGCATGTTGTGATGAGTGGTTGTGGCATGTTGTGAAGAGTGGTTGTGACATGTGAAGAGTGGTTGTGGCATGTTGTGAAGAGTGGTTGTGACATGTGAAGAGTGTTTGTGGCATGTTGTGAAGAGTGTTTGTGGCATGTTGTGAAGAGTGTTTGTGGCATGTTGTGAAGAGTGGTTGTGGCATGTTGTGAAGAGTGGTTGTGGCATGTTGTAAAGAGTGGTTGTGGCATGTTGTGAAGAGTGGTTGTGGCATGTTGTGAAGAGTGGTTGTGGCATATTGTAAAGAGGGTTTGTGGCATGTTGTAAAGAGTGGTTTGTGGCATGTTGTGAAGAGTGGTTGTGGCATGTTGTGAAGAGTGGTTGTGGCATGTTGTGAAGAGTGGTTGTGGCATGTTGTGAAGAGTGGTTGTAGCATGTTGTGAAGAGTGGTTGTGGCATGTGAAGAGTGGTTGTGGCATGTTGTGAAGAGTGGTTGTGGCATGTTGTAAAGAGTGTTTGTGGCATGTTGTGAAGAGTGGTTGTGGCATGTTGTGAAGAGTGGTTGTAGCATGTTGTGAAGAGTGGTTGTGGCATGTTGTGAAGAGTGGTTGTGGCATGTTGTGAAGAGTGGTTGTGGCATGTTTTGAAGAGTGGTTGTGACATGTAAAGAGTGGTTGTGGCATGTTGTGAAGAGTGGTTGTGACAAGCTATGAAGAGTGGTTCTGACATGTTATGAAGAGTGGTTATTGCATGTTGTGAAGAGTGGTTGTGACCTGTGAAGAGTGGTGGCATGTTGTGAAAAGTTGATATATGTTGTAAAAAGTAGTGATATTTTGTGAAAGGTGGTGGTGTGTTTTAAGCAACAGTTGAGAATATTGACACTGCGAAGAGTGGTGGAGAGTGTTGGCCAAAGTTGGAGTGGGTGTGGTTAGTGTATGTGTCAGTTCACTGTTACCACCAGTAGTACTGCTAACTGCCTCCATTTTGGATGAAAATCTTCTTTAGAATGATATTGAAAATTTATGAATTAATTAGCAGAAAACCTATGGGATAACAAATCAAAGACCAGTATATGTTATACATATTTAGTGTTTCCTGTTCCATATTAACCCCTTCTGTCACCTTTGTAGATCTATATCATTGACTCCAGTATTGCCGATGTATATCTATATTTTAAGCACTTAACCCTCAAATATGCTATGAGGTGGGGGGAAATAAATGGGATTAAATCTGGAGTGTCTGAGAGAGTTAGAGCAAAGGAAGGGGTAGCAGTAATGTTGAATGATCAGTTATGGAAGGAGAAAAGAGAATATGAATGTGTAAATGCAAGAATTATGTGGATTAAAGTAAAGGTTGGATGCGAGAAGTGGGTCATAATAACCGTGTATGCACTTGGAGAAGAGAGGAATGCAGAGGAGAGAGAGAGATTTTGGGAGATGTTAAGTGAATGTATAGGAGCCTTTGAACCAAGTGAGAGAGTAATTGTGGTAGGGGACCTGAATGCTAAAGTAGGAGAAACTTTTAGAGAGGGTGTGGTAGGTAAGTTTGGGGTGCCAGGTGTAAATGATAATGGGAGCCCTTTGATTGAACTTTGTATAGAAAGGGGTTTAGTTATAGGTAATACATATTTTAAGAAAGAGGATAAATAAGTATACAAGATATGATGTAGGGCAAAATGACAGTAGTTTGTTGGATTATGTATTGGTAGATAAAAGACTGTTGAGTAGACTTCAGGATGTACATGTTTATAGAGGGGCCACAGATATATCAGATCACTTTCTAGTTGTAGCTACACTGAGAGTAAAAGGTAGATGGAATACAAGGAGAATAGAAGCATCAGGGAAGAGAGAGGTGAAGGTTTATAAACTAAAAGAGGAGGCAGTTAGGGAAAGATATAAACAGCTATTGGAGGATAGATGGGCTAATGAGAGCATAGGCATTGGGGTCGAAGAGGTATGGGGTAGGTTTAAAAATGTAGTGTTACAGTGTTCAGCAGAAGTTTGTGGTTACAGGAAAGTGGATGCGGGAGGGAAGAGGAGCGATTGGTGGAATGATGATGTAAAGAGAGTAGTAAGGGAGAAAAAGTTAGCATATGAGAAGTTTCTACAAAGTAGAAGTGATGCAAGGAGGGAAGAGTATATGGAGAAAAAGAGAGAGGTTAAGAGAGTGGTGAAGCAATGTAAAAAGAGAGCAAATGAGAGAGTGGGTGAGATGTTATCAACAAATTTTGTTGAAAATAAGAAAAAGTTTTGGAGTGAGATTAACAAGTTAAGGAAGCCTAGAGAACAAATGGATTTGTCAGTTAAAAATAGGAGAGGAGAGTTATTAAATGGAGAGTTAGAGGTATTGGGAAGATGGAGGGAATATTTTGAGGAATTGTTAAATGTTGATGAAGATAGGGAAGCTGTGATTTCGTGTATAGGGCAAGGAGGAATAACATCTTGTAGGAGTGAGGAAGAGCCAGTTGTGAGTGTGGGGGAAGTTCGTGAGGCAGTAGGTAAAACGAAAGGGGGTAAGGCAGCCGGGATTGATGGGATAAAGATAGAAATGTTAAAAGCAGGTGGGGATATAGTTTTGGAGTGGTTGGTGCAATTATTTAATAAATGTATGGAAGAGGGTAAGGTACCAAGGAATTGGCAGAGAGCATGCATAGTTCCTTTGTATAAAGGCAAAGGGGACAAAAGAGAGTGCAAAAATTATAGGGAGATAAGTCTGTTGAGTATACCTGGTAAAGTGTATGGTAGAGTTATTATTGAAAGAATTAAAAGTAAGACGGAGAATAGGATAGCAGATGAACAAGGAGGCTTTAGGAAAGGTAGGGGGTGTGTGGACCAGGTGTTTACAGTGAAACATATAAGTGAACAGTATTTAGATAAGGCTAAAGAGGTCTTTGTGGCATTTATGGATTTGGAAAAGGCGTATGACAGGGTGGATAGGGGGGCAGTGTGGCAGATGTTGCAGGTGTATGGTGTAGGAGGTAGGTTACTGAAAGAAGTGAAGAGTTTTTACGAGGATAGTGAGGCTCAAGTTAGAGTACATAGGAAAGAGGGAAATTATTTCCCAGTAAAAGTAGGCCTTAGACAAGGATGTGTGATGTCACCATGGTTGTTTAATATATTTATAGATGGGGTTGTAAGAGAAGTAAATGCGAGGGTCTTGACAAGAGGTGTGGAGTTAAAAGATAAAGAATCACACATAAAGTGGGAGTTGTCACAGTTGCTCTTTGCTGATGACACTGTGCTCTTGGGAGATTCTGAAGAGAAGTTGCAGAGATTGGTAGATGAATTTGGTAGGGTGTGCAAAAGAAGAAAATTAAAAGTGAATACAGGAAAGAGTAAGGTTATGAGGATACCAAAAATATTAGGTGATGAAAGATTGGATATCAGATTGGAGGGAGAGAGTATGGAGGAGGTGAATGTATTCAGATATTTGGGAGTGGACGTGTCAGCGGATGGGTCTATGAAGGATGAGGTGAATCATAGAATTGATGAGGGGAAAAGGGTGAGTGGTGCACTTAGGAGTCTGTGGAGACAAAGAACTTTGTCCTTGGAGGCAAAGAGGGGAATGTATGAGAGTATAGTTTTACCAACACTCTTATATGGGTGTGAAGCATAGGTGATGAATGTTGCAGCGAGGAGAAGGCTGGAGGCAGTGGAGATGTCATGTCTGAGGGCAATGTGTGGTGTGAATATAATGCAGAGAATTCGTAGTTTGGAAGTTAGGAGGAGGTGCGGGATTACCAAAACTGTTGTCCAGAGGGCTGAGGAAGGGTTGTTGAGATGGTTCAGACATGTAGAGAGAATGGAGCGAAACAGAATGACTTCAAGAGTGTATCAGTCTGTAGTGGAAGGAAGGTGGGGTAGGGGTCGGCCTAGGAAAGGTTGGAGGGAGGGGGTAAAGGAGGTTTTGTGTGCGAGGGGCTTGGACTTCCAGCAGGCGTGCGTGAGCGTGTTTGATAGGAGTGAATGGAGACGAATGATTTTTAATACTTGACGTGCTGTTGGAGTGTGAGCAAAGTAACATTTATGAAGGGGTTCAGGGAAACCGGCAGGCCGGACTTGAGTCCTGGAGATGGGAAGTACAGTGCCTGCACTCTGAAGGAGGGGTGTTAATGTTGCAGTTTAAAAACTGTAGTGTAAAGCACCCTTCTGGCAAGACAGTGATGGAGTGAATGATGGTGAAAGTTTTCTTTTTCGGGCCACCCTGCCTTGGTGGGAATCGGCCAGTGTGATAATAAAATAAAAAATATAATAAATAGTAAATTTTTGTCTAAATATGTGAGAATGGGTCTATGCATTGAGTGTGACACTGTCAGCATTTAAATTTTAAAGGTTGTGAGAGCAAAAGCGTTAACATGTCACAATTAAGATGTGAAGTACTATTCGAGCACTCATAGAAAAGGACCATGTTTTCCTTGGGAATATTTTTAACTGGCTGCATTGGATGCAGCCAGTTTACTTTATTTTTCTTATTTATGTTCCTTGGTGAAAAAAAGGGTAATGTGCTTAATGATACTTTCAAATCTTTCATAGTATACAGGTATTAAATTAACTTGAGGAATGGTTAACTATATTTTTTTATTAATTTTTTACTTTAAATTATTAAAACAAAAAATGTTATTTGTTTCCAACCAGGTCGCACTCCCGGGGATTATCGAGACCTTGGCGTTAGTAACCCCAATGTGAAAGTGACTGATGATGGTACACTACAGATTGGCAACATTCAGAAGTCTCATGAAGGATACTACTTGTGTGAAGCTAACAATGGAATTGGTGCTGGTCTATCAACAGTTATCTATGTCAGGGTTCAAGGTCTGTGGGAATTTAAATTTATCATAATTTTGTGCACATTATTTTAAGAAATTCTAAAGGACCTCCAAACTCAGTCATTAATTGGATTTTTAGAAATTATTTAACTTTAACGTGTTATCTTGCAATTTTTTTTTTTTATCCTTTTAAGCCTTAGAGCATGTTGATCAGAGTAAGTGAAGATGAGTGGTGTACTACAGGACTGACATCCTATGAGACTATGAGCAGATATCTTTGTAGGGATTCATGGAAATCAACTAACTGTATTTAATTCTTTAGAAATTGTGGAGTACAGTGTCTGCACTGTAAATTGGGATGGGGATGTGCACTTAAAGATCAGGTGATGGTGAATGTTTTTTAAGTGCTTTAAGTGCTTTTGAATCATAACATCCTAACCCAAAAAAATGCAGTTGTCATAAAACTGGATTATTATTATTGTATTTATGGAAAGTCCTTAAACCTGTAAAGGTCATAGTTCTGCATGGTGGACAGTAAAGAGATGGAAAGGGATGAAGGGAGAGGCAGAAGTATTGATGGAAGAACATTGGGTGAAAGGATGATGGTTGCAGTTGATGAAGCAAACTGGTGTCAGTTAAGAAAGTAAAAAATGAAATATCTCCAGTGAAGGTGAGCCAGTCAGAGAGGAGGGCAGACAAATTAAATGTGTCAGGGCAGGAATATGTCTGAAAGTTGGTGTGCTCTTTGTTTAACAGGGGAATTGACCAAAATATGTTGAAACTGTCATAAAATAGGAAAATATATCATCTGTCTTCTAAATACAGTGGACCCCCGGTTAACGATATTTTTTCACTCCAGAAGTATGTTCAGGTGCCAGTACTGACCGAATTTGTTCCCATAAGAAATATTGTGAAATAGATTAGTCCATTTCAGACCCCCAAACATACACGTACAAATGCACTTACATAAATACACTTACATAATTGGTCACATTCGGAGGTAATCGTTATGCGGGGGTCCACTGTACAGTGGACCCCCGGCTTACGATATTATTTCATTCCAGAATTATGTTCAGGTGCCATTACTGAACGAATTTGTTCCCATAAGGAATATTGTGAATTAGGTTAGTCCATTTCAGACCCCCAAACATACACGTACAAACGGACTTACATAAATACACTTACATAATTGGTCGCATTGGGAGCTGATCGTAAAGCGGGGGTCCACTGTATATAAATCTGATATTTTATATAGTTGAGCAAGAGATGAGTAACCCCTTCTTCTATATGAATTACTAAATCTAAGAAGAAAAACTTCTTTTTAGGTCACCCTGCCTTGGTGGGATACGGTCAGTTCGTTGAAAAGAAAAATGATATACAGTGGAACCTGAAATATCAAACTTTCTTCATTCCAGATGGCTGTTCGAGTGCTGTTACAGAACGAATTTATTCCCATCAGGAATAATGTAAATTAGATTAGTTCGTTTCAGACCCTCAGAAATACACTTATAAAAGCACTTACAAAAATACACATACATAATTGGGTGAGTTGGGAGCAGTTCGGTATATTTGAGGTTCCACTGTAGTACAGTATACGTTTATTTTTTTCTTGAAAATATTTTCTTGTTTATCTGTGCAGCTCCACCTCAATTCAAGATTCAGTACAGAAATCAAACTGCAAGCCGAGGTGACGATGCAGTTCTTGAGTGCGAGGCTGAGGGAGAGACCCCCATTGGTATTCTCTGGAGTAAGAACAAACATAGCATTGAACCATCCAATGAACCCAGGTAAGCTATTGCACAATAATCACATGCAAAATCTACAGCTTTTTGTTTTAGACACCCAGAATAAGATAATTAAATTTTTATTTGATAATATAAATTTTGTCATTCAGGTAGGCACTTAATAGAAAATATATCTGTATATAAATCAAGTAGTATTATAATCAGAATGACAAGGATATAATCTCTTAGAATGAGTGAATGAATAATAAGGGAATGAAGAATTAAAATAGGTGAAAACAGCAAAACAAAAGGGAAGGATGGGAATAAGACAGGAAACAGATAGGGAAGAAGTGTTAGAATGATTGGAACATTTGTTTGCTGTGACTATAAATTAAAGGAAGATACACAAGAATTTCTTTGTACAAGAGGAAAATGTGACAAGAGAAAGTGACTGTATAAGTCGGTGAGTTAGTGTGAGAAAGAGAGTGAGAAGAGTGTGTGTGTGTGTGTGTGTGTGTGTGTGTTTGTTTTGCTTGTTTGCTTGTATGTGGTACATGCATGCTAGAATAAGTAAATAACTTAAGATACCAAATCTGTTAAGTATTCCAAGCATGGTTTATGGTTGACTTAATGAGTTATAGCGAATTTATTGGGAGTGTGACTACAAATATCTATATTTCAGAGGAACTTTGTGAATTTATTTAACTAGTTGAATATACTGAGTAAGAGTTTATACAAAACATTACAGTCAGCCATACAAGTTTATATGAAACAATGAAATCAAACATATCTGATACATGTAAAGAGCTGTTTATTGCATTTATGGGTGGTTTTATTATATTGTAATGATATATTTAAGTCTTGAGATTGATTGACTATGCAGGGAGAGTGAGTTTGTAATACATCATTTACATTTTGTGTACAGTATAAATAATGCAGAATTACAAATACAGAGTTGAAACCTCTGGTATTACAAATGCTTGCAAACTAGGTAATATCTATAGTGTATATAAAAATTATTGACCCACATTAATTATATGCAGTCAATTTTCATATGCACTTGTAACTAGGTACACAATTCGTGAAGAAATGCGTGGCGGAGGTGTTCACAGCAGTCTCAGCATTAAGACAACTGATCGATCAGACTCTGCTGTGTATACCTGTGTGGCAACTAATGCTTTTGGAAGTGCTGACACCAACATCAATCTTATTATTCAGGGTATGGATAATTTCTGACATGTTAATTTGAATAAATTTAGTGGAGATTTTATGTATTTATATATATGTACTGGTATGTACTATACTATATTAGTGAATAAAAAATTAATTATGTCTACTACCTCCAGCCTCCTCTTCCAGGAGAGGCTGGAGGTTTTGTGTGCAAGGGGCTTGGACATACAGTAGGCATGTGTGAGCATGTTAGATAGGAATGAGGGACCTGACAAGCTGTTGGAGTGTGAGCAAGGTAATATTTTGTGAAGGTATTCGGAGAAACTGGTTAGCTGGACTTGAGTCCTGGAGGTAGAAAGTACAATGCCTGCACTTTAAAGGAGGGGTTTGGGATATTGACTGTTTGGAGTGACATCTAAACTGTCATATCTGAACGCCTCTGCAAAGACAGTGATTATGTTTTTTCTTTCTTTTTGGGTTTTTCTTTCTTTTTGGGTCACCCTGACTCTGTGGGAAATGGCCGACGTGTTTAACCCTTTCACTGTCGGTGATGTATAGGTACAGCTTACAAGCCAGTGTTGGTGACGTATTAATACCCCAAAATTCTTGCGGCTTCAAACCTAGCAGGAGAAAGCTGGGAGACTTGCAGTGAGAGAATGGGTCTGCCTGGTCAGTGTGCACAGTATAAAAAAAATCCTGCAGCACACAGTGCATAATGAGAAAAAAAAAAACTCCATCCATGTTTTTGGATTAAAACGCCGACTTTGAGGCATGTTTTTGTATAGTAATTATGGTTTTGCCGACTTTGAGGCATATTTTCGTATAGTAATTATGGTTTTATTCTCATTTTTGTGGTCTCATTTGATAGAATGGAAGATATCTTACAAAAATAGAGACAGTTTTGAATGGTTTCATGATGAAAAGTACCTTGAAATTAAGCTCAAAGTAGCGGAAATGTTCGATTTTTGCCAGTGTTCAAGGGTGAACACATGACGTCACCGTCCAATACGTGTCCAACTGGCCAGTCTGATACACAGTCACAAATGGGTTGACATTATTTATACAATTATAAAATAATGTAGTAGTCTGCACAACAGTAAATCTATTCTTTGTGAGAATAAAAATTCAAAATGGAAAGCAAGTGCAATATAAAAGGAGCCTGAGACGTGACTGATGAACAGAGAAAATGTTATTTTAGTGCCAGGAATGTCTGTATTGTTTATTCTGGACCCTATTTTGAAACTGGCATCTTTTGAAATTTGTGTGAAATTGGTCAAATTGCCAGTTTATGACCACTTTATTGGGTAGTTGAAATTGGTAAATGGGCAGTTTCTTGTACTCAGTCGATAGAACAAATGGAATTCTAGAGAAATAGCTATGACTTTGGTCAACTGGAACAATGGAATTGACTGAAAATAGGGCTCAAATTGGGCGAAATCGCTGATGCTTATATATTGCCGAGAGCGTAATTCCATAAGTTTTCCATCAAATTTCATACTTTTGGTGTCATTTCCATCAGGAAAAGATTATCATTTCATAAGAAAAATCTTTTTTCAAATATTTTTCAACACAGCGAGTTTAGAATCAGGGGTCCCGACAGTGAAAGGTAAAGCCGAATAGGTAAAGCTTATGATTTTGGCTTAAATAGCAACGCTCTTCTTGCCAAATAAGGCAAGTGAAAATTTGTGTGTGCAATAATTTTGCAAAAATCATTCTGAACCTAATGAAAAAATTATATTTCATTGTGTTTGTTTATTATTAAATTATTGTAAACTTTCGAAAATATATTTATTTGGTTTAGGCTAAATTAAATTGTGCTTGTTATAACAAGGTTAGGTAAGTTTTCTACGGTTCTTTTGGTACAAAATTATTAATTTTTATATTAACATAAATGAAAAAATATATCTTTAGACATATGAGAGAAAATTTTAGAAAGGACTTAATTTTAAATGAGTTCTTATTAATTGACCAATTTTACCTATTCGGCACAACATATATACTTCAAACTGTTTCTTTTTCAGGTCACCCTGCTTTGGTGGGAGATGGCCAGCATGTTAAAGAAAAGTGTAAAAACACCTTGTATGACTTTTTCAGCATAAAAAATATACATTTGACTTATGTAGTAATGAAATTCCTTCAAAACATCATGAGATTGTGAATGTATTATATAACTGAGATTTTAAATATTTACCTAACCTTTTCAGGGTCCTTTGATTTGAAAATTGCTCTCAGGATACAAGAGTTTAAAAAAAAAATCTTATGAAATTATAAAGAATCTTTTTCTGAAGGTAATGACACTAAAAGTACAAAATTTGATGGAAACTTACGGAATTAAGCTTTTACAAAGGTCTCAGTGATATTGATGCATCGGCAGTTTTGCCCACTTATAGTCCTATTTTAGGCCAGTTCTATTATTCCAATTAACCCGTAAACAGTCCAAACATATATATACGTTTTTTCAACATTTGAAAGTATGTGAAAAAAGTAGATCTTTTTGTTTTTTACATTTGAAAATGTGTAAAAAACTTTGATCTACTTTTTTTTTTTTTATATTTGAAAATATGTAAAAAAAAAAGTAGATCTACTTTTGTAGCACTACACATGTGAACGTAGATCTGCTTGGACCGTTTACGGGTTAACCAAACTCTTAGTTGTTTTGCTAGTATGCCTTCCTTACAAGAAACTGCCCATTAAACTATTTCAACTACCTATAAAAGTGAACAGAAATTGGTAATTTGGCCAGTTTCACTCAAAATTTAAAAATTGCCAATTTAACCCTTTCAGGGTCCGTCCCGTAGATCTACGGCTTTACGTTCAGGGTCCAAACCGTAGATCTACGCCATGAGCTCAGCTCACTCTGATAAACTGTGAGTGGTACATTTGGGCCTAGATATGAGAGAATACATCTATGTGGTATGTGTGCACCACATAAAACAGATCCTGCAGCACACTGTGTATAATGAGAGAAAAAAAATGAAATCATGATTTTTCGATTAAAACAGCAACTTTGCAGTGTTTTTTCGTATGTTTTTTATAGTTGTATTTGCGATTTCTTGGTCTCATTTGATAGAATGGAAGACATATTACAGAAATAGAGATGATTTTGATTGGCTTTAGCATTGGAAATGGCTTGAAACTGAGCTCAAAGTAGCGGAAATGTTAAATTTTTGCCGATATTCAAAAGTAAACAAACGACCTCACATGTCTAATACACGTCAGCTGGTGGGTCTAATATACATTCACAAATATGGTGATGATATTTATACAATTATTACAGTATTGCATAACAGTAAATCTTCTATTTTTTGGTGTGAATAAAAATTCATTATGTGAATAAAAAATCAAAATGGAATTTATTTGTAAAGCCTCAAAACATAACTAATGAACAGAGGAAATGTTAGTTTAGTGCCAGGAATGCCTACAATGTTTATTCTGAACCCTATTTTGAAATTGGAATATTTTGAACTTTGTGTTAAATTGGCCAAATTAACAATTTCCGATCACTTTATTTTGTAGTTGAAACAGTTGACTTGGCGATTTCTTGTGCTCAATCGATAGAATAGAAGTAATACTAGTGAAATAGCTAAGAATTTGGTTGATTGGAATAATGTAATTGGCCTAAAATGGGAGTCAAATTCGGCAAAATTGCCGATTCGTAAATATCGCTGACACATCAAAATTCGCGAGAGCATAATTTCGTCAATTTTCCACCAAATTTCGTACTTTTTGTTTTATTACCTTCACAAAAAGATTCTCTACGATTTCATAAGAAAAAATAACAAATTTTTTTTTTTTAAAATTCTTGGACACTGGTGCGTGACTCCAGATTTGGGCCTTGGACCCTGAAAGGGTTAAACAGGTTCAGAATTAACCATGTAGATATTACTGGCACTAAAACAACACATCCTCTGTTCATTAATTACAACCCCAAGCCCTTCCTATATTGCACTTGCTTTACATTTGAATTTTTATTCACACAAAAAAAAAACTAGAAGATATTACTGTTATGAAGACTACTGCATTATTGTAATAATTGTATAAACAATGTCAGCACATTAGTGAATACTTATAGACTGACTAGTTGAACATGTATTGGACAAGTGACATAATTTGTATCCTCTGGAATATTGGCAAAAATCAAACAGTGGTGCTACTTTGAACTCAGTTTCAAGCTATTTCCATTCCTGAAACCCATCAAAATATATATCTTCCATTCTGTTAAATGATACCAAGAAACAGACTACAACCAAAATACACCACTACATCCAAAAACTATACCACAAAGTTGCTATTTTAAACCAAATTCATGGTCAGTTTTTTCCAATCGTGTACTATATGGGGCACAATTTTTTTTTCATATGGTGCACACTCGCTGCATAGACCCATTCTCTCATATCTAGGCCCAAATTTACTGCTCACTACTTATCTGAGTGAGCTGAGCTCATCATATAGTTCTATGGCACAGACCCTGAACTCAGACCCGTATTACTACAGCATAGACCTCAAAAGGGTTAAGATTATTCCTTGCATGATAATGTACATCAAAACAGCTGATTATTAACAAAGTTTTATTAGTTTTCAATACTTGTATATGGAATAAATTAATGTAAAATACATAAATAATTTCACAGAACACCCAGAACAACCTAATAGCTTGAAGGTATTGGACAAAAGTGGTCGCTCTGTAGAACTCTCCTGGACGCCTCCCTATAATGGAAATTCTCCCATCACTCGCTACATTGTTGAATACAAGTTGAGCCGCCGTAAGTACATAATAAAAATATAATAATTATTGTTATTATTATTATCATGGTGAAAGTGTTGAATGATGATGAAAGTTTTTTCTTTCTTTTTGGGTCACCCTGCCTCGGTGGGAAAAGGCCAATGTGTTTAAAAAAAAAAAATATGGGGAGCACTAAACCTGTATGGATTATACAATGCCTGTGAAGGGGAGGATTGACGGCATTCAGGATTATTTCAGGGAATTGAAGCATAGATCCAATTCCCTAGATTAAGAGCCCCTCACCAGCATCAAGGAACCTCCCTTGAGGGGATAAACATAAAGGTGTGATATTTCTCATTATGCATTTCCTTGTAGACATGAGGCATACAGTTCTTTATTTCATTTAATATGTAGTTCTATATGTTTTTAAGAAATTTCAGAGATTATGTATACATGATGTTATACAGCATTTAATATTGTACTGGGTGACTCTTGTAAAAGTGCTTTGTCATATGTCTGAAAACTTTGTGATTCGTGCAGGAAACTGGGATTCTGATGGTGAACGCATGATGGTTCCTGGTGACCAAAATATGGCTGCCGTATTGGATCTTCGCCCAGCAACAACATACCATCTTCGTATTGTTGCCAGGAATGAAATTGGCGATTCTGATCCCTCTGATACTGTTACAATCATTACTGCTGAAGAAGGTGAGGTTCCATTTTGTTTTAAATTATGTCACAAGCAGCAAGAGTCTGATTGATCTGGCAGATATTAGAAAATTATGGCTGCTAGCAAAGCTGCAAGAGTAGAAAATCTCTCAGAACCAATCACAGATACATTATCAACAATGTCATCATTATAGACTGAGACACTCGTGCAACATTTGGGAATCTTTATTGAGGAAACATTTTACCAGCCAGTGGCTGCTTCAGTGTAATACAAAGAATAACAGTGGAAGATGAGGAGGAGACTGAGGTAATCCAACTGATTATCTCAAACTCCTCCTCATTTTCATTTGTTATTCTCTGTATTTGACTGAAGAAGCCACTGGTTGCAAAACATTTTCTCCAAAAAAGATTCCCAAATGTTGCAAGAGTGTCTCATTCTTCAGCTTGTTTGTTTTTAGATCCATTTTCATCACAATGTCACCAATACCTCATTTTCCACTTAGTTGAGATAGGATGGGTTCACTGTTACTGGGAATAAAGAGTTGTTTCTACCCCTAATTAGTTAGCAGTGGTGTTTTAACTGAAAAAAACTACATTTAGTAATTAATGTCAAACAAAGTTTAATCATTGGAAAAAAATGTATAGGCAGGCCCTGCTTATACAATAGGTTGGGTTCTGGGCTACTGCTGTAAAGCAAAAATCAATGTACAAATACAGGTACAACATCGATTTTCTGGAATCTTTGGTTCTAAAGTCTTTTCGGTTTACTGATTTTTCCACCTTTAGAGAGCGCAGTATTCCTTGGTCTTGGGGGTTGAATAAGTGACGTACAGTTGGGTGGTAAATACACTGCCACAGGAATTTCAAGTTCCTCCTCATAAATTTGTATGGATTATAAGAATTTTCAGACCATCAGTGTCTGGAAAATCGATGTGTACCTGTACAAATTTTATTTCTATGCACAGTACACCGAGATTTATGTGTTATAAAATATTGATAAGCACAAAGAAAACCACTACCTTGCATGAGCATTTTGGACAGAATAATCCTAATGCTTACAGATTACTTGAAACTAGACATAGGTTATAGAGTGGTGAATTTTAATTTTTCATTATTTTTCATTAATACAAATGTGAGGCAGCCAAAAATTTTATAATTATTAAGGTTTATAGTGGAGAGGTTGCAAGAAACAAATAAAACTATTATAATTATTACAATTTACAATATTACAACAGTACAGTTTTAACTTAATGATTTAGTGGTCTTGAGTTAATAAGGATTACTCAAGTAGTTTCAAACTGGTTAAATGATTACAGGCATAGTATAGTGTTGGTTTAGTTAAGTTTGGGAGATGAGATAATTTTTTATTATAGCCCTAAATTGATTTGCAGGCAGGGGATCTTTTGCTGGTTCAGGCACTGAATTCCAGATATTAGGGTCCTTTGTGTGCATTGCATATTGCACAGGGTTAGAAGGTCATGGGATGTCGAAGAGAGTTTTATGCCTTGTGCTGTGCCTGTGTGTTCTGTTGTAGCTATCAAAGAGAAGCTTGAGAGGAGGGTTTATATTGGAGTTTAATGTTCTATATACAGCCTATCCTCACTTAGCAACATACTGATGACTCGGACTTACAGTGGGCTCTCTGACCAGTGTGCATACCTAAATAATGAATATTAGAACTGAGTTCCTCTATTCTGTTTATTACAGTATACAGTACACTACTGTATAAACACTTAAAAATATACTAAAAATGTTATAAATGGTGCAAAGGTGACACTAAAACAATATCAGTGGTTATTAATGGTTTAAGGTGATTGAGTGTAGTAGATCCCCCAAGCACAAATACCATACGAGGTAAGGGTAGATTAGAAAGTGGTATAGTGTAAGTAGTGCTATTTGGGGTACATAGTAACATATCATGTAAAGGATGCCTATTGTTTTCGACACCTTGACTATATGTTGGATGTGGGTCTGAAGTTTAAGGTTGCAGTCAAGGTGTAGCCCTGAAAATTTGCCATCAGCGATTATCTCCCCCTTTTTTGCACGTTGCTTCTCCAGTGACAGTCTAGCTCTTACATTCTCTCTATAGCTCATTCCCTTCAGTTCAAGCACCAGTGTACTAACAGTAATGACAGGCTTGTTGGCATTAGTTTTGTTGATTTAATAAGATTTTTTTTATAATTAGTAGTTTTTAATATATACTCTACCTCATAAACAAACTACTCTGTAGGCAGAGTGCTAAAAATATTATATATTTTCCAAAAATGATTCCACACACACTCCTTGAAAGACTTGTGACAACTGTTAGGTATACGGATATTTATTAAAAAATTTAATATGTAAGATTGCTTCATATATTTACCTGTTATAGTAGCACTTCTTTAACTCTCACATACAGTAATGATTTATGTCTAGAAGATACATGTCTTTACCTGTACCTGACAGCTCCCAGTGGTCCTCCCCGCGACCTTAAGGTTGAGGCTGTTGATCAGAGCTCTCTGCGAGTCACATGGAAGCCACCTCTGAGGGAGGAATGGAACGGTGATATTCAGGGTTACCAAGTAGGCTATCGTCTTGCCTCCTCCAACAATTCCTATGTTTATGAGACTGTTGAATTTAGCAAGGAAATGGGCAAGGAACATCATCTCGTCATTTCTAAGCTTAAGTAAGTTCACGTGTAATCTTAACAAATATTTATTTATTCATTACTCTGCATTACTGGGAAATTATCAGCATTCACTGTGTTACAACACTGGGTTGATCAGTAATGTGTAAATTATTTATATATGCCTCTGCAAAGACAGTGATTATGTACGAGTGATGGTGAAAGTGTTGAATGATAATGAAAGTTTTTCTTTCTTTTTGGGTTTTTCTTTGATTTTGGGTTTTCTTTCTTTTTGGGTCACCCTGTCTCAGTGAGAAATGGCTGACGTGTTAAAAAAAAAAAAAATAAAAGAAAGGAAATGTTTATAACTATAAGCATAGACAATGCTGTATGGAATATTTCTGAATACTGTACATTTAATTGCTTATCAGTATTTGGATTTATAGTATTTATAAAATTAAAACTGAATAGAAGAGCTAAAATTTAAAAAAAAAATGTTGACATTATTTTATACAGCATCTACACTGAGTATGCTGTGGTTGTGTCTGCTTTCAACAAAATTGGACAGGGACCAAAAACTGATGAAATTCGAGCTTACACTGCTGAAGGTACACCCCAGCAACCCCCCCAAGATGTGACGTGCACTACTCTAACTTCGCAGACGATCCGAGTGTCCTGGTCCTCACCACCACTTGAAACTGTGCAGGGAGTCATCAAGGGTTACAAAGTCATTTATGGTCCCTCTGACACTTGGTATGGTAGGTTTTAGGGCTGGTAATATTTAATGTTTTTACTAGGAATTTGTTCTAGCTGTTTTTATTCTTTGGATCCAAATATTTTTATGTTGATATACTACACAAGAATTTGTTTTCTGTAAAGTTATTTTTTCTCTATCTCCTTTTGATAATTTTTTAATATTCATATTTGATTAACTATGTGGCTACAATACATACATTGATTATTAATTGCTGTGTTCAGATGAAGCAGAAGTAGAATATACAGTATAGTAACTTTCACTGTAGTTCCTTTTTTTAAGGTTTAAAAAAAATTGATAAATTATCAGAAGTTTTAATTAATCTGTTAGGAATTGTGCCATATGTAAATATATATGGACGTGTGTAGGGGCAGGGGTCATTCCAGAAATGGTTGGAGGGACTTTTAGGGGCTTAAATATCCAGTAGGTGAATGGAGAAGAGTGGTTGGGCATGTATTTGGAGTGTAGGAAAGGTAACATTTATGAAGGGATTCAAGGAAACTAGTTAGCTGAACTTTGAGTCCTGGAGGTGGGAAGGGCAGTACCTGCTCCCTGAAGGAGTGGGGATGTTGCATCTGGAGGGTAAATTTAATTGCAATGTCAGCACACTTTGGCATGACAGCAGTTGAATGAATAATGGTGTGCATGTTTCCTTATTGGAGTCTCCCTACTTTTTTGGTAGGGCTAGGTATATGCAGGTGTAAGGCTACATACAGATTGGTGACCCCTTGTTCTGAGACATTTTTATGCATTTCTTCAGAGTATACGGTGGAACCTTGGTTTTCATCTTGAATTCGTTCCAAGTCAAAAGCCGAATTCGGCGAAAACTGAAGAAACATTTCCCGTGAGAAATAATGTAAATCCAATTACTCCATTCCATTCACCCAAAAATATTAACAAAAAATACATTTTATAGAGAATAACTATAGTTTTACATACAGAAAACAATGAGAAATAAATATGAAGCACTAACGAAATGGAAAAATGAACATTTAAATTACTTTTTCCTCTATTGAAGACTTGTTGGCATATGGAAAATAGCAAGGGGAGGAGAGGCTATCTCTACCACCATCACTACCATCTTCTACCACCCTGTACCACCATCACTGCCGTCCTCTACCACCATCACTATCACCTTCTACCACAATCACTACCACCATCGCAACCACTATCACCCTCTACCACCATCACAACCACCCTGTACCACAATCACTACCACCATCTACCACCATCACTACCACCCTCTAACACCATTGAATTCTATTGTGTTTCTTGCCTTCTTCATCAAAGGGCTGGCACTTGGAACTTTCTTTGGCCCCATGGTGGCTTATTTAGTAGTCGCACTCAATAAACAAGCACAAACAACAATGGATTATTACGAAATGTTTCATATGAATGCGCAGGGTAATGTTCACTCGATGAGAAACAAAGCTAGACTGACTCAGAATGCGTGCGTGGGATACTCTGTGTGGGCGAGGGCAGACGGACACGTTCAGTATAGCAGACGAAAACTGAGGTGATGAACAAAACCTGGGACAATATTTTGACGAAAAGAGTCGTCGAAAACTGAATTCGACAAAAACCAGGGCAAACTAAAAAACCAAGGTTCCACTGTATCTTGTTCCGTGAATTAATATATTTATATAACACTCACCGAAGACCAGTAACTATATCTTATAGATGAGGAAAGCAAAGACACCAAGATTACTGGATCTACAGAAACTCACCTCCATGGTCTCCAGAAATACACAAACTACAGCCTCCAGGTACTCGCCTTCACATCAGGTGGTGAGGGTGTTCGCTCACAGCCCATCCACTGCCAAACTGACCAAGATAGTAAGTAAACTAATTGTTTGATTTTGTGAAAAGTGAGGATCAGCCTTTTTTTTTCTCGTATTTGTTAAGTTTTGTTTGACCACCAAGAATTGGCTCTCTCTTTGTAATTACCCATTTGTAGCTACAGGAGTAATGATAAGCTCGTGGTGTTCCATCTTCAGTATTTAGTCTATCAAAAAGTTTAGTGTATGAAAAAGATTTTAATACCTCTTATAAACCATCCCATTAATCCACCACTGTTTGTGAAGAAAAATTTCCTACATCCTTTTGGTAACTTCTTTTTCTGGCTTCTCTGTTATGCCACTTGGAGTTTGGAAGTCTTCCTTGTCAGCTCTTTTATATTCCTTTTTTAATCCTGAATATGGTAAGCTGGGCTGTGGTTCATACACTGGACTGCATGCGGCTAGCAGTAGCAGGCTGGTTGATCAGGCCTTGATCCTCTGGGAGACCTGGTATGGGAACAGACCAAGGGGGCATTGATACCCAGAAACATCCTTCAAGTATCCTTCAGGTATCATGTTTCCTCTTTTCCTCTTATGAACCGAAAATGGCATACCCAGTGCTGTCAGTCTTTCTTCATAACTAAGTTTTTTAGAGTCCTGGAAGCTGTAGCTCCAGTTGAATTTTTCTAGTTTGTTCATATTTGATTTTAGTAGCAGGCACCATATCACTGCTGCATGTTCAAAATTTCATCTAATATATGTTGTGAACAGCTTTTTCAACATTTCTCTATTCATATATCCAGGTGTTATTTGAAAGTTGACCTTTGTTGCAAAAGAGTTTCTCACTACTTTGTTTTTTATTTTCTGGTGACAAACTTTTGTGAATGGTGAGTGCTAGGTCCCTTTCTTTGTCTGATGCCTATAGTGTTTTGTTACACAGTTTGTACTTTGCAAGGTGTGTGTTTTCATTTTCACCAATTCCTGTAATGTGGCACTTATCCACATTTAAATTCTATCATCCATATCTCACTTTGCTTGCTCAGCCTGTCCTGATCTTCATTTAGGGATGCACAGTCATTTTTTGTTGCTTTTCCTGCATAGGATTCTTGCATTATTTGCAAAAAGTGTTATGTAGTTCATCATTCCTTCTGGCAAGTCATTGATATGCAGTAGACCATCATTTAGAGCACTGTTAATATTCCTGAAAAATCAATTTACATAATGATAGTCATTTACTGAAGCATTTTAAGTGTGGAGAGAGTGTTGACATGAATGTAATTGTATTGTTTGTTTTTAATTTGAGTGTCATGCATCAAGTTGAAAGGTGATGGAGACCCATCTTGACAAAGTATGACTGAATTTTGTAAAAAAAAAAAAAAAAAAAAAAAAAAAAATTCAGCCAGATTTTTTTTTTTTTTTTTTTTTTTTTTGTATATGATCATATGGTGTGTATATGGTAGCTCATTTTTTTTTTTTTTTTTTTGGTAAATATAGGTGAAGCATGAAAAAAATAGTAGGAATTAGATATGGAATACAGTCTGTGGTTATAACATTGGCTTCATGGAAAACTGCGAGTCACTTTCCATATTTTTTGCTTAATAAACATTTTCTTCATTGCCTATCTGGGTTATTAAGTTGGGGTGTACTATATTTTAATGTAAGAAAATGCTAATTAAATAATCTGCAGTTCTTCACCAAGCAATCATGAACTCTTCACACTTGCATAAAGAAAACAAACTGTCAAAGTATTTGGCAAAAAACTATCTTGAAAAAAGCAATTTGTTGCAAGTAATTTTTTTGAATGAAGTTTCCCCTCACTTTAAAGAATTTGCATAGAGTGAATCTATGCAAATTCTTTAATATGCAATATTGCAATTTTATCTGATTCAATATTTGCAATATGCATTCACCTTTTGCTGTCAATCCAATTTGCAAAGTGTATTAAAGCTTCTCATTATGTAGATAACCTGGAATGCACCTAAAATATAAAATGAAGGACAGATTTACTTGCAGTGATTGTATTGACAGATTGGCAAATCTGTCGATACAATTGGTTCCAAAGTGTTTCAGTCGTAGGAATAAAGTGTAAGTTGGATGATCATAAGTCTGGGACATACTATATGGGTACAGTGCTTGCCATTTTCCATTTGTGTGCTAGTTTATGATCTTGTAGCAAAAAAAAATTTTTTCACGGAAGATAACTTAGAAATATGAGGATTAAATTATAATACCGTGATTGCTTATAAGGTTGAGGCTATTTCCATAAAAGCCACATGTAATAGAGAGATTACAATAATGTATAATATATTAAAACTGGTAAACAAACGACTACAAAACAATTTCAGTTCCTGAATCTCCTACATCTGTGAAGGCATTGGTTATGTCTGCTGACTCAATCCTTGTGTCTTGGCTACCACCTGAGCGCCCTAATGGTATTATTACTCAGTACACTGTTTATTACAAGGAGCACGGCAAGAGTGATACTGAGGTGAGTTTTATATTCAGTGGAATTTTGAATTTTGAATTAATGACATTCAAACATTCCTTAGGATGTGAGCAATGATTGCTTTGTTTTCATTCAAAGCATTTATTAATAATTATCCTGCATTAACATTATATAATCTTTCCTAATGATCCTCTGAATTAGTAGTTCAATATTATTCTATATTTTGTCAGAAAAATATGGATTAATTGCATAACTTAATTTATTTAATGTTATGACAGACTGTTCAGCAGAAGCTTCTCCCATCTCAACTGAGCTATGAAGCAACTGGACTGAAGCGCCGAGATGACTATGTGTTTTGGGTAACTGCTTCCACTACTGTTGGAGAAGGAGAAATGTCACAGTTGGTTCATCTGAAGCTCTCTAATAAAGGTACATCTTTTTTGGCACTTTATATTTTCTCTTTTAGGTAGTAGGCTGGTAGACAGCAACCGCCCAGGGAGGTACTACCGTCCTGCCAAGTGAGTGTAAAACGAAAGCCTGTAATTGTTTTACATGATGGTAGGATTGCTGGTGTCCATTTTTCTGTCTCATGAACATGCAAGGTTTCAGGTGTCTTGCTACTTCTACTTACACTTAGGTCACACTACACACATGTACAAGTATATATATACATACACACCCCTCTGGGTTTTCTTCTATTTTCTTTCTAATTCTTGTTCTTGTTTATTTCCTCTTATCTCCATGGGGAAGTGGAACAGAATTCTTCCTCTGTAAGCCATGCGTGTCATAAGAGGCAACTAAAATGCCGGGAGCAAGGGGCTAGTAACCACTTCTCCTGTATATATTACTAAATGTAAAAGGAGAAACTTTCATTTTTCCTTTTGGGCCACACCGCCTCGGTGGGATACGGCCGGTGTGTTGAAAGAAAGAAGATATTTTCTCTTAAAGTTTTTCTTATTATTATTCTAGTAAAGCAGTGAGAGGAAATGTAAAAAAAAAAAAAAAAAAAAAATTAGAAATTAACTAAAAAATATGCATGAAGGTCAAAACTCCTTCAACATCTCCAAAATCTCCACTTGAATTTGAAAAAGCCATTGATAGCTTGTCTATGCACTCTGCCCCAGGCTCAGACTCATGAAACTCCATATTCATCAAAAACTGCAGAAAAAGACTATCACATACTGTCAATATCGTATGGAGATGGAGTCTGGACATAGTAGTCATTTCACAGTTCTTAAAAACTGGATATAGCCACAAAACAAAACTGGTAGTAAAGCAATTGCAAAAATCTATTGACTGATGACATCGATATCCCACATTATCAGAATCTTTGAAAAAATTTTAAGAAGAAAGAATGCTTAATACATGGAATCACATCAATTGCACAACCCGGGACAACAGGTTTAGAGCAAATCCATCCTGCCTCTTGCAATTTTTGGACCATTACATCATTGTCTTAGATGCACTGGAAGATAAACAGAATGCAGATGTTGTATACACAGACTTCACAAAGACTTTCAAAAAGTGTGCAATAGAACGTGCAAAAGGAATAAATGGAAAATGAGGGCAGATGGATTTTTAATTTTCTAGCAAATCAAAATCAGATTCAAAAAGAAATAGTCAGCAAAGTAAAATCAGAGGCTGCCTCAGTGAAAAGCTCTGCTCCTTAACCCTTTGAGGGTCGACAGGCCCTCTCCGAGACTCGTTCTCAAGGTCGGCCAAATTTAAAAAAAAAAAATAGTTTTTTCTTATGAAAAGATAGAGAATCTTTTCCCGATCATAATGACACCAAAAGTATGAAAGTTGATGGAAAACTTACGGAATTATGCTCTCGCAAAGTTAGCAGTCTCAGCGATATTTACGCATCAGCTATTTTGCCCACTTTGAGCCCCATTTTCGGCCAATTCCACTGTACTAGTCGACAGAAAATATGAATATTTCGCTAGAACTCCATTTTTTTCTATCGAATGAGTGCAAGAAACCACCCATTTACCAATTTCAACTATCCAGTACAGTGGTCAGAATTTAGCAATTTTGCCAATTTCACACAAATTTCCAAAGATGCCAATTTCTGAATAGGGTCCAGAATAAACAAGAAAGACATTGCTAGCACTAAAATGACATTTCCTCTGTTCATTAGTCACGTCTCAAGGCCCCTCTTATATTCTTTTGCTTTCCACTTTGAATTTTTATTCTCACAAAAAATAGAAGATTTACTGTTATGCAAACTACTGCATTAGTGTAAAAAATGGTATAAATAATATTGACGCACTTGCGAAAGAATATTAGACTCGCCTGTTGATGTGTATTGGACGCTTGGCATGATTTGTTTACTTTTGAACTTCGGTAAAAATCGAACATTTCTGCGACTTCGAGCTCAATTTCAAGGTACTTTTAATTGTAAAACCAGTAAAAATCATCTCAATTTCTGTAATATGTCTTCCATTCTATAAAATGAGATCAAGAAAACTAGAATACAACAATAAATACCATATGAAAATACAGTGCAAAGTCGCTGTTTTATTCCAAAAAAACGGTCTAAGTTTTTTTTTTCTCATTATGCACTGTGTGCTGCAGGATTTTTTTATACTGTGCACACTGACCACATAGACCCATTCTTTCATATGTAGGCCTACCAGCATTCTCCCACTAGATTTGAGGGCGCTAGAATTTAGGCATACTAGTACGTCAAAAACCTGGGTCGTAAGCTGTACTAGTACGGCCGAAACCTTCGAAGGGTTAAGGCACTTCATACATAACTAAGCGCTAAACACAAGGTTCATACAGTCCTTAATGCACAGTACCTGCCACAATTCTCATTTTCATATCTGACATAGACCAAGACATAAGTCATAGCATTGTATCATCCATAGCAGACAATAATAGAATTTGGAGTGGCATTCATTGAAAACAGGAAATGTCCTAGCTGATATTAATCAAGACCTTCCAGTAGACCACAGAAAACAATATGATGTTCATTGACAAAAAACTTCAGTTTTGGTAAAATTGAAGAAGAAATTAATGGAATAAACTGTGAAACAAACTCAAACCTTTCAACAGAGTGAGAGAGAATTGTGAGGAACTTAGAAGGCTGCATCTCAATGCCTAATAGCATGCAGACATGGTCAAAAGGTTCAGTTGTTGTTTGGACCAAACATAAAAAATAGGAAAGAAGTATGATCTAAGTGACTTAGACTATGGAATGATTGTTGGTGCCAGACATGGTGGTTTGAGTATCTCAAACTGCTGCTTTCCTGGGATTTTCATGCACAAGTCTAGAGTTTAGAGAATGGTGTGAAAAACACACAATATCCAGTGAGTGACAGTTCTATGGGTGAAATTGCCTTGTTAATGAGAGGGTTCAGAGGAGAATGGCCAGACTGGTTCCAGTTGACAGGAAGGTGAGAGTAACTCCAATAACCAGGCATTACAACAGTGGTATGCAGAAGAGCATTTCTGAATGCACAGCACATTGACCCTTGAAGTGGATGGACTACAGCAGCAGAAAACCACACCAGGGTCCACTCCTGTCAGCTAAGAACTGGAAACTAAGGCTACAGCAGGCAGAGGCTCAACAAAACTGGACAGTTGAAGATTGGGAAAATGTCACCTGGTTTGACGAATTGTAAATTCTGCTGCGATATACACATGGTAGGATAAGAATTTGGTGTAAGCCTTTGGGATGTGGTGGAACAGATTTGCAGCCAACAAATCTACAGTAACTGGGAGATGCTATCATGTCAACATGGACCAGAATATCTAAGGAATGTTTCCAGCACCTTGTTTAACCCTTTCAGGGTTTCGGATGTACTAGTACGGCTTACGTGCCAGGGTTTTTGACATACTAGTATGCATGAATTCTAGCTCCTTCAGATCTCACAGGAAAAGGCTGGTAGGCCTAGATGTGAGAGAATGGGTGTGTGTGGTCAGTGTGTGCGGTAGAAAAAAATATTGGACCCAGTGGCGCATTGTGGGAACGCCATTTTAGTAGATTTTGTTCACCATGCCTCGCAGTAAGAAGCTCCTCACTCCTCGGTGAATTGGGACACTTGTTCCCCAGTGACAGTTCTAATACAGATAGAAGTGCCAATGAAGATGAGTTTCAAGGTTTTGGTGAGGTTGTGACCGAAACTAATGACCATAATATCGGTAATAGTGAGGAAAACCCAGACGACCCTCAGCCTTCCACCTCTGCTGCTGGGCCGTCTTGTTCACGTTCAGTTGTACCAGAATCAAAGAGGAAACTCCTATTTTACCAAATCCCGGACTCAGATGTGAGCATTGGTGATGATAGTGATAGTGAATATGAACTACAAGCTCTTGAAACCAGTTCCTGTAGTGATAGTGAAGTGGAATATTCTCCAGTGAAGCGTCAGTATATACAACAATATATGTGCTCTGGTAGTGTGCCATATGCTATTCCAAGGGGAAGGAGTACATCTCGGACTACATCCCGTGGCTGTACAACAGGAACAGACAGTGAAAATGATGATGATAGTGTTGCAACTGGGATGGAAAATGTGCATGGTGGTGCCGGCCGTGAGGCACCAGCAGTGGGCCATGCTGCCACCCACTCTACTACCCATGCTGCCACCCACGCCGCCACACTTGCCGCTGCCTCAGCTGATCTACAACAAAGGCCATCATCCCCCACCCACCCACCACACCAGCCTCCACAACCACAACCTCCACAACCACCTGTCAATGTCCAGTACCCACCAGCAGACTGCACCTGGGATTGGCAGGAAGCTTTCAATTTTGTTCCAAATACCCAGCAGTTTGATGAAAGCCAAAGTTGAATACGGCCATGTTGTATACTGGGGAACAATGCCAGTGAACTGGAATGTTTCAAGTTATTCTTCAACGAACCCCTGATGGAAATTATTGTCAGGGAAAGCAACAGATACTACGAGTATACCATGGCAAACACAATACTTTCACCAAAATCACATCTACACAAGTAGAAGGAGTCAACTGTGGCTGAAATGTATCTTTTCTTTGCCACAATAATGCTTATGCCACATGTGTATAAGCACAGAGTCAAATCATACTGGTCAACGGACCGCCTGATTGCAACCCCAGGTTTCAGTGATATAATGGTAGTGAATCGATTTGTGCTACTATTACTTATGCTTCACTTCTCAGACAAAACCAGGCCTGACAGAAACGACAGGTTATATAAGATTAGGAATGTGTTTGTGTATCTGAAAGAAATTCAATATGTATTTTTATCCCTTCAGGAAGCTTGTAATTGACGAGTCTTTGATTCTGTTCAAAGGAAGTCTCTTTCAAGCAGTACATACCAAGCAAGAGGAAACGCTTTTTGTATAAAGTTGTTTGTGCTTTGTGATTGTTACAGTGGTCTTGTATTGGATATTATTGTGTACACTGGAAGCTGTACATTGAAAAATACCAGGAAGTTATTGGGC